AGGAAAGCAAGATAGGTGGGACTAGGAGACAAGGAGTATTCAAGGAAGGAGTAGGGAGGAGTCAGCATGTAGAGACTGGAGAAAACAGAGGTCTGGGCCCACTCTCCGGTAAGATGAGACCACGTGGAAATACTTAGATTAATAGAAATGGGTTAATACCTAAGACACTAGTCTTAGGTATTATCTAAGAAACTAGTACCTGGCCAACAGCATAATATCAAATACAGAGACTCTGTGTGTTATTTGGGGCTGGTGTGGCGGTGAGACCAGGCAGGCAGAAAACCTTACTCCGCAACAGCCTGGAAGAGTTTAGACCAACTGGATCACCTGAAAAAGACACTCTCCAACCTGTTGAGCTGCCTTCAGGCTATAGAGTGTCCTCCAAGTTTCCAGTTATCACCCATGCTGGTGTAAGCCTTGAAGATACAGTTGCCTTTAAGTCATTTATTTTCCTGCAGTAAACCCTTGGCCCATGTACCTATAAGTAACTATAATCAAATCCACTGGCTCATCAAGTGGGACTTCAGCAGAATCCTTTGTTCTGTTGTGGGATCCCTATCTGGGGTGAGTAGATGTGCATTTTGTCTCCCTAGGAAAAGTACATAATTTTCTTTGCTGGGTCTTTGTGTGGTTTGGGTATCTGGGTTAACTGTGTTGTGAAGTGAATCAGGCCATGATCTGTTTCTATTTTATGGAATAATTTGAGGAGTATTAGCATTAACTCTTCTTTGAATTCTACCTGGGCCTTTTCTGGCTGGGAGGCTTTTAACAACTGCTTCCATTTCATTAGGAGTTATAGGTCTGTTTACATTGCTTATAGAACTATGATTTAACTTTGGTTAGTGGTATGTATGAAGAAAATTATCCACCTCTTTTAGATTTTTCCAAATTACTCCAATTTGGTGGACTACAGGTTATGATTCTCTAGAATTCCTTGGTGTGTATTGCTTACTGATGGCTGTTTTCATTTCTGACTTTGTTAATTTGGATTTCTCCCTTGTAATAAAACATCATTTGACTATGGTGATTTTTAAGATTTTCCTCTGTTCCAGGTGTGCTATTTCTAATAAAGCTCTGCACAGAGGTCTCAAGCAAACTGACAAGGACATTACATTCCTCCCATGTTCAATTATGAAAAAATGGGGCCAAACAAGTTGTTCCCAGAAATGTAAGAAAAGATGTGTAATTTAGTCTTGGGAACTGAACTGTTGACAAATAAAATTATAATTTTCCATTTTCCAAAGGAAAGAATATCAGAAATTACTTGTCATTATTTGCTCTAATATTTTTTAAGGTATTTTAAGTTCTGGATTTGTGAGAGGTTTTTTTTCCTCCCTCTTTGAGTTAGAACAAAGGAATGCAGTCATAATAATATCCCAGTTATATCCACAACTTATTTTGCTGAGTTCAAATTTTACTGAATCACTAAGAAGAGCCACCATGTTTACCAAAGCCCTTGACTACCAGGATGCTGAATAGAGAATAGGTGTCACTCTGAAATCAGTCACCCTGTGCATCCTCCTTGGTGTGTTAATGAGATGGTCAAGTGATTTTCTGGCTATATATTAGACATATTTATTTCAAGCATCATTGCTAGACTCTACTCTAGACCAGCTAAATCCAAATATTTGGAGAAGTTCATGGAAATCAATATGCAGTAAAGACTGACAGGTGATGTTTAATATGTTCTACAAATCACAGTGTCTGGCAAATTATGTACATTTTTTTTTAAAAATGTCTTAAATTGGATTTAAAAGTTTTCCAGGAACTTTCAGCTTGTGGCATATGATCAGAAATAGCTATGAATGTTGCCTGCCCAACACAAAATCATAAAATTACCTAAGACATTATGAGATTTTCCCCCCATATTAACTTTGGCAATATCATGTCACAAAAGTCAAAAGGTTGGACATGCCAGGCAGAACAATAACAGCAATTATAAAACTATTTCCCAAAATATACTGGTCCAAAAATAAAATCACAATTGCAAAGAAGTTTAAGCATGTAGTAATGGGAAATTAAAATCTATAATGCAATCTTAATAAGAATTTTGAGAAATGAACATTTATTGTATGGAAAGTGATCATCATATATTCTTTCATTAAAAGAACTAGGTTACAAAACAATATTGACAGAAAACCAAAAGAACAAATACATTAACATACAGATAACACATTGGTTACAGTGAAACCCAATGCAGTGCTATGTTATCTACTTCCTTGCCCATATGATCCTATTCTAAGGCTTCTTGGCTTTCAGCTTCCCATGCCATGTTTCAGGTGCATCTCTAATCCATAATGTATTTGTGATTTAGTCTGCTTTTTAATCTGTAACCTAAGAGCCTCTAACCTTTGATTATCTGAATTAATTATCTTGGTCATTACTATGGGTATGTTTAGATCTATTTGGCTTTGTTCTAATTGCCAGGCTTTCTGTTTGCTGACTTAATGGGAGTATGTCTGTTGTTATACAGGATGTCATGTACTCCAGGCTGGCCCAGAACTTGTTATATAGCCTAGGAAGACTTTGACTTTCTGATTTTCTGTCTTAACTTCCTGAGTGCTGGGATTACACACCTGTGTCACTATATCTGGTTTTATGTAGTGCTGGGGGATGAGACCCAGAGCTCCATGCATGCTGGGAAAGCACTCTGAACTACAGGGCAAGCCCCCAAGTGTCCTTCGCAATCTTTCTTTTTTCTCCTCTACCTTGCAAGTTCTACTGTTGTTTCTTAGTGGTGACTCTTAAAATTCTTAATGATATTCACGTGAGGTGCAGTGGTTCAATCCTCTAATGGCATCACTTGAGGGACTAAGATAGTGAGTTCAGAGCTAGCCTGAGACACATAGTAACACCCTGTCTCAACTGCTCCAACTTTCTCCCCCTCCCTGCAAAATAAGAATGAAACTCTTAATAACTGATTTGTGGGGCCATAATATAGAACTATAAAGTTAGTCTGTTATTCAACAACCTTTTGCTTACAACTTAGGCACCAATCAATGTTGCTGTTAATGCATCATTTCTTCAATGTGCATTAGTCAGCATTCTACTGTAAGACAATGCTTTTCCACTGTCTTCACTTATACTTCTCACTTCACTCTATAGATAACGTGTTTACATTAAATCACCCCAGGTATGCCAGAGGGAACTCCTTCAAACCCTATGTAGAAAAGACACTACTTATTCCAAATTATAGTTACCCCATTGGTCAGACTCATAGGATGCCCCCCTTATACCAAATATTATTTCCTCAGAAAATGCATTAGGAGTTCAAATTTTTAAATATTATCCATATAACCAACAAGGGGAAATCTAGAAAAGTTATTTAAGTTGTTTTGGAGATGTATATTAAGATCTACTTTGCTAATATAGATATCAAGAGGTGAAACTGCAGAAAAAGACGGCGTTTGTAATTAGAGCAAATAAGATTATCTGAAGTACTTCTGATACCTTATCCAAAGACAGAGTTACACAAAGTTACAAAAAGAACATTTTCATAACTTACATTCAAGTTCATTCACCTTTATCCCTGAAATATCAAGAACTCCCAAGTTTCAAATACAGACTCATCAAAAACACAGAGCTACAGGAAGCCCTTGCTACACGTACCTTTCCACACACACACACACACACACACACACACACATATATACATATATATATATGTATATATATATATATATATATATATATATAAAACTGAAAGATGTTCGCCTGAATTTCACCCTTTATCCAGTGTTTCACAGAGATGATACAGCTATAAATCACAGAACTTTGATGTTGTTTCAGAGGTCCTAGATGATACTGTCAAGCCCTTCGTCTTACAAAAAGGTGAACACAGGTTTGGAGAAGTAAACTATTGTAGACAGAGTTACTGGAAAGGCTGAACTTCAAGCAGTTTTCAGCATTTCAACACGAGCTATTTTAAGTATGCCACTTACAATAGTGAGATTAACAAGTCAGTCCACAAGAACGCTATTCATCCCATGGTGTATCTGAAGCATTTAGCAATGAACAGGCAAGGGTCGGGGGCTGGGGGGGGGTAAACAATGGAACTGTAGCAGTCACTACAGAAGTGATCTAAAAGCTACTAAGCTGAAAATAAGGTTTTCAAACTAATGAATTTGGGGCTACATGAATTAAAAGGCAACAAGCAATTCCATCAGTGTTCCTCTAGATTCTATAGGGAGTTTACTCATGGGCTTTTTAGATGGAGGTAGCCATGGTTCTTAACTACATCTAATGTCACCCAGCAGCCCAGGACTTGCCTTTCTTCTGGCAGGCACAGATCATCGGTATGATTCAAACTGAGGCACAGCTAACACCATCTGGAGCCTTTTTTTTTTTTATTAAGGGCATTAATAAAGAGTTGGCCACCTACCCCAAGAATGAGATGAGGAAAACAGTCTATTTTAAAGATAGCACAGCACTCAAGGACACTCTATTGGATTTTCTTTAAACACAAGACTTTACACAAGCCTCTAACTTCATCTCATCTTATTTCCTAACATCTGAGATTTTACAGTCAAATCCAAATGTATGCATTTGCATATCCAGAAGCACCCATGGCATGCATGGCTCCTCACCTTTACCTATCTGGTGTGAGCTTAGGTCATGGGTCCCTTTTCTGTTCTTTTTCATCCTTTTCCGCTAAGTAGACTTGAGGCTGATAAAGAAGTAATCCTCTTATGTCTATGCAGATCTCTCTTGCACTAATATGGGCACCTGTGCCTCAAACAGAAAATGGGCTCACAAAGATGTCAAGAACTGTCCTGGTATTAACTCAAAGACACCCTGGTGTGCTATTTCAAATCTCCACCATTGAAATAAAAATTTCATGCTACTAAATACATTTCTTAAAGATCACACAGAGAAGAGAAAAAATGTAATATTCACCTTAAACTTGAAAGCACAATATTCCCAGTCGTTACAAACTATTAATGTTCATTGTTTTCCTCAAGTGTTAACCAAACAGGTTTCGTGGCACTCACTGTACGTACCCTGAGTGGCCGTTGGAGGTAGCTTGAGCGTATTATCTAACTTCTCCCAGAGGTAAGTGGGCCGAGGGATGCCTTCCTCTGAACTACACAAAAGGATGACGTCGCTGCCGATGTCCTTGGATCCTTGGATTTGGCAGTGTGGAGCAGAAGGGGGGACTGTCATGGGAAGAATGGGTAACACAAGTTCACTTTCACTGTAAGCCAATGAGACAGGAATGTTCATCACTGGGGAACTACAGGTAACAAGTGTGGATCACTTGGGGAGACAGCCCATGGCAGATGCCAGGGAGACCATGAAACATCGATTCCCAGGGCATGGAGATGGCACAAGGCTTGCAAGTGTCATGTCCAGGGAGGGAATCTACAAAGGGAGCCATGGCTTTTGGTTACATTTTCTGGTATCTTAGAGTCTTGATTGGAATACTCTCCCTAAAGGATTCATAGGAGGCTTTAGGTCCACACACTGCCTTTAAAGACAGTGCTGAAAAGACACATGCAAACCCATCGCAGGAGCGGAAGTCAACCCTAGCAGCTGTCCTCTGCCAAAGCCCACTTTAGTCAGGCCTTCTGCTATTTTTCAAAACTAGATGGGCCTGCTTTGTAGCTAATTCAGCTTTACCGTGCTGCAACTTACAGTGAAGATCAAGTTAGAGGAAGCTAACAGGAAGGTAGGGAACATATCAAGCTACAAAACATTTCATATTCGCTAATTACTTACAAAGACACAAGCAACAAGAATACAAAACTTACCAAAGCAACAACAAAGGGAGGGAATGATGGCTTACATTAGCACAAAAGGGGTGAACATATAAACAAAACCCATGGCGTGGAGCTCCAGATTGGTGAGGCAGGCACCACTGTTTTATGAACATGTGATGGTGTTCTTAATCCTAATGCCTTCTCAATAAATTAGTTCACCCCTTCAAAAACACACTAAACCAGAAGTGCCAAATGAGTTAGAGACATACAGAACAATCAGAAAGTGAGTGAGTGGAAGAAGAGGTAAGCAGAGGGTACAGGGTTCTGGGAAGGTGGCTCATTGGCAGAATGCTTGGCTCGAATGTGTAAGGCCCAGAGCTATACAAAAGCAGGGAGGGTTGTGGGCATATGAGCAATGGTCTGCTGTGCTGGGTGCGGTAAGCCAGCCTCCTGGACTCATTCCATTCAACACTACCTACCACTATGTTACCATGAAGTAAAGCCTAATATACTTATTTTGAGGTGACACTCACTATAAAGGATTCTGTTCTACCTTAAAAGTACTTTTAAGGTAGATACTATAGGAAGCCAGCTGCTCAACTGTCATATAAACATCAGAAGAGTATCGATTATTTTTAGTACTCTATATTGGACTCAGAGTACTTAGAACTCTATATAGTTTTAATATCATGAAGGTTATCTTCAGAAGATACGCCTCCAACCTGATCCTTAGTTTTCACAATTGTCTGAAGACTGGGAGAACAGGGAACCAAGGATTACAGCATATTCTCCCCTATAAAGGGCAAACATTTGTATCCTCACATAGCTCAGCAGGGGGAAGAGAGAAAAGGGGGTTAGATACAACTATGGAGATAGATGCTAGGAGCTGAGCAGGAGGAGGAAGCACCTTCTCTGAGTACTTCCTCTACTGCGCAAATGATGGATTCACCCCTTCTACCACAAGACTCTACTCGGCTGACACCTTTACTTTTTCCTGTTAACAAATTATTCATAATTGAGTTTTACCACAACAGAAAGCTTCTGTCCTACAGGACCTTAAAAAATTATTTTTATGTCACCCTTCATCCACTGTCAGGAAACAGCATTAGGTAAATTTAGAGACCATCTGGAGATTTAAGAATGGGAAGAGTATGTAAGAAGCATAGAAAATTTGAGAGGCATTGTGAATGAGAAGGCAGGCAGGGAAGAAACTAAGACCACAGGGAGAGAGCAGAGAAGCAAACATGAAGGACAGAAGTAAATGCTTTAGTGTAGATTTGTAAGTGAAGCCTAAGGTAATGGGTTTTGTCTGTCACTCACCTAACACTGTGAGGCCAGCGACCCCAATGTTCCTGCCCCCTCTATCTGGAAGGTTGTTCACTAAGCACTGGTAGGTGCCCGTGTCTGACAGCTGAGTGTTATTGATGAAGATGGAGACATTGGTAGCAGGCATGGTGCCTGTAAATCCTACCCTCCCTTGGAACCTGGGGGCACCATCAAACATCTGTCCACCCTGGTAGAGAATGACCTGCAGAAGGAAGCAATATATAAGTAAACCAATCATGGTACCCCCTCCTTGGGTTATAAACTAGTAGACAGAACCAAAAGGACCTGCAACAAAAAGTGGAAATTTTACTTTCTCAGCAACTTTTTGTGACAGCCCTATCGATAAACATCTTAGGACTCTAAATTCTCACATGCATCACTAGATTATCTTTTTTCCTTCCTTAATTTATCAGAATTAATCAGAAACTATCTTGAATGCTACCAGACTATTAACACATAAAGTTAATGGTGAGATGAAATCCAAAACGTATTAGCATTGCTGTTCTCATAGTAATTAGGCCATGGAATAACAGATTACTCACTCACAGGCTGAATATCAACATCATAAAAGGAAGGGAACATTGCAAGCCCATGACTACTGTGTCTGCCAACTTATCAGACCTAACAATTATCAGAGATAACTATCCTTGGGAGAAACACAGCATAACAGAAAGCTCTGTGCCCTGAAAATAAGAAGGAGGCTTTCAGGTCTTCCTGTGCCTGTGGGGAAACCTTGGGTAGTTCTTTTTTTAAACATTTTTAACCCCATCACTGCTGCTTAAAATAGTGCCATTTGACAAAATGACCCCCAAAGCTTAGCCTGCTGCAAAAGTTCTATAGTTTGAAGATACACTGTATCTATGTATGCAGTTTTCAAAGAATAAATTAAAAATTAATAAATTTTAACTTACTGAACTTTGTACTAAGTAGTAGGATGAAATCAGAAGAGCTTTAGAAAGAGAATGTCATCTTTGTAAATACATCATGATGATTACCACAACGGAGTAATTTTATAGTGGGTACCCAAGATTATTTTATTTATTAATGTATTATTAATGTTTATAATAATTATTATTAATTTATTTCCCACAACTGATAAAGATTTCTGGGGGCAACTTCCATTTGCACATGTGTCCTTCCACGTGGTATACTCTCATTTGTATGACAGTCTGGGTTGGCTGTTTTAAGATGCGTGTTGACTAGCAAACCTAGTGTGTTGTCTACTGACTTGTAAGTCTACTGTGTTTGGATGCATGTTGGCCTGGCAAGCCTACTGTGTCTGGATGCAAGTTGACTGGCAAGCCTACTGAGTGTGGATGCAGGTTGGCTGGTAAGCCTACTGTGTTAGGATGCATAAGTAACACTGCAAAGCAAACTGCAGTCTTCAGCTTCATATTATCATCACACTCTTTAGAGAACATTCAAGTCACCTAAGTTAGTGCCAATCTCTCCCTGAAAGGTAGACCTTGCCTTCTTAGTATTTGCCTCTCAGCAGGGTTTTCTTTTTAATCCAAAGTCTTGTACAAAACCCTGTCAGTGAGATAATGATGTCATCCTTGTAAAAAGAGGACAGCCTTATCAGAATATTAACTAACTATGCAACGGGGAGGGCACACTGACCATGTCACCTTACTCTGGAAATCAAACATATTCCCATGATGCTTCCTTCCCTCACCATCTCTTCTGCAAGGATCCACAGTTGTAGAAATAGAACAGAAGTACCTGCTCAGGCTGGTTTGCATTCGAAAGAGGAATGACCATCCAAATGACATTGAGGTTAATGAGAGCAGCATTGGTGGAGAAGGTGCATGGCAGGACTGCTGTCTGGCCCCGGGCTACCTGGATACTGCCAGGGCTCTCGGACACTTCCAGGGACACTGCAACACCTGTAGAGGAAGGAACGATTTGGTTCCAGGCTTGTCCTTTCCTAGCAGCTCTGTGGGTATCACAGTATCACATTACCTCCAACCTGGACCTGTGAATACACTGACAGAATGCTCGAACCAGCCAAAATAAGAAAGCGGCTTGCCACTTTACATCTTGAAGGTAATTTTAAAAGGTTAGGGACCATTTATTCTCTCTCATAAGGCAGTAACTCAGTATTTAGACAGATTCAGATACACCACTGCAGAGTCTGGGCAGAAGTTGATAAATCCTGAAAAAAGACATGAACTGAATTTTCAAAACATCATTACAACAGCACACCACACAACATAGTGCTGATCTGTAAATCTAACCAAGTATGTGCATGTCTTTAAGTTCAAACCCACATATAAAAAGTCAATGAAAGAAGTAATAAGATCAAATAAGTGGGAAGCTATACAGTGTTCATGAGATGAAAGATTCGATGTTAATAAGAGGTCAACTAATCTCCCAAAACTGATGAAAATCAGAGCAAATCCAATTAAAACTCCACCAGGCATTTTAAGTGCATGGCAATGAATTAATGTTAACACATTAAAAGGAAAGAACCACAAAGGGCTCAAGATGTGGCCCCAAGGAGCACTGGCTGCTCTTGCAGAGGACCTGGGTTTGATTTCCAGCACCCACATGTAGCTCACAACCTCCGGTAACTCCAGTTCCAAAGGGTCCAAAACCCCCTTCTGGTCTCTGCAGGCACAGCACACATGTACTGCAAATACATACATGTAGGCAATACACTCATACACTTAAAACAAAATAAATTATTTTTAAACGATATTCATACTATCTGATTTCACAATTTTCTATAAAGCTCTAACACTCACGACAATTTAGTGTTAGTATGCAAAGTGAGTGCCATACAATCAAACAGCACAGGATTGAGGGTACCTGGTATTCATGGCCAGACACTTTTCAGCAAGGTGCAAACTAAAGGAGAAAAGCCGGATTTTTGTCCCATGGTGTTGGGACAACATGGAAGTACTATGTGAACCAAAAAGAGAGAAACAGAATTTGAACCCATACCTCACACAGTATGCAAATACTGATTCCAAAATGTTCCTAAGCTTAAACTAAAAAGCTAAATATAAAATCCATCTACAATAAAAGAAAATTTAAATGTACTTTGCTATAATCATAGAAATCTTAGAAGTATCGTTAATACTATGAATCCTAAAAGAGAACAAAATAAAAAAAAAAACAGACTCATTAAAGTTAAAAATAAAAAAAAACAAAGTTAAAAATCTTGGGGTTGGAGAGATGGTTCCGTGGTTAAAAGCATGCAAATTGTTCTTGTGGAAGACATGAGTTGGATGTCTTGGTACCCATATGTGTATGAGTTGATCATGATGGCCTATAACTCCAGAGGGATATCCAATACCCTCTTCTGCTCTCTTCCGGCCCCTGTGCTCACATGCATGTGAACACGCACACACACACACACACACACACACACACACACACACTGTATAATAATTAAATCTAAAAATCTTTATTGCCACCAATAATTTAAGAAAATACAACAGTCAAGATATAGCATGATTGAAATATTATAAGTAACATATTTTATAAAGGGTTTATATCTAAAATACATAAAAATCTATGGCAATTCAATTTAAAAGTTAATCTAATTTTAAAGGGATATATACATCTGTGGTAGTTTAAATAAGAATGGCCCCCACAGATTAACATATTTGAATTCTTAGTCTCCAGAGAGTGGCACTATTTGGGAAGGATCAAGAGGTATGGTCTTGATTGAGTAGTATGACCTTGTTAGAGGAAGCAGTTCTTTCCTCTCCTCCCCCAGCCCATCTCTCTGTTTATGGATCAGAATGTAGTTCTCAGCTGCTTTTCCAGCATCATGCTAACCCCTCACTCCCTGTCATAAAGATAGTGGACTGACCATTTTAAACTTTATGTGAGCCCCCAGTTAAATTTTTTTAAAGAGTTCTGTGGCCGTGGTGTTTCTTCAGAGCAACAGAACGTTGACTAATGCCAGTGCACATCTGATGGAACAGCTACCATCAAAACCATACAAATATTAATGAAGACTCAAAAGAAAGCAGGGGCTCAGAGGCTCATGGATTGCTAGTAAGAACATAAACATCACAGATACTTTGGAAAATAAGTTCAGTTTCTTAAAAAGTTATACTTAAACATATTATAACATATCTTAGAACTCTATTCCAAGAAAAATGGGAATATAATAGTCACAGAACTTATGGATGAATCTCTTTCTCCCTCTTTCTCTCTCTCTCATATGTGTATAATATATATATATATATATATGTATATATATATATATATATATATATCAACTGCCAAGTAAAGCAAGATGCCATCATGGCTTTAATGTACTCCTTATGGTTTAGAAAAGCTGTTTTGAGGGTCTCTGTAACCTGATGTGAGAATATGATATATGCATACTATACATACATACAAACATACATACATATATGTATGTATACACAGAGATTAAAGATGTGTCCTCCTGCCTCACTTCAAGATCTGGACTAAAGGCATGTTGTCTTCCTGCCTCAAGATCCAGATCACAGGTGTAGCCTCTATTTCTGGATTATAGTTCATCCCAGACATAGTCAAGTAGACAACCATATATAGCCATCACACTCTCCATAAGTACTGGCAGCAATATCTTTCATATTGTGCCACCAAACATAAATAAAACAAGTGTCCAATATCTGGTGAACAGATGAATAAAATGTGGTACTAAATACAATGGAATGCTGTCCAGAAATACAGGCATCAAGCTGCCACCAGAGACTGTCAAGGTTAAGTGTTGAGGGTGGGCACAATGGTCTGTACTAATAGTTTCTCATCAACTGACAGCCTGCAAATAATGATACAGAAACCTTAATTATGATAGCTTGGCCTAGAGCTCAGGCTGATTTCTAACTAGTTTTTATAACTTAAATTTACCCATTTCTATTCATCATTGTCTTACCACGTACTGCCCACCCTGCCTCTTCTGTATCTCCTGGCTTCTCGTTTGCCCAGACTCATCTCCTACTTCCTTTTTCTCTGCCCAGAAGTCCTGCCTATACCTCCTGCCTAGCTATTGGCTGTTCATCTCTTTATTAAACGAGTCACAATGATATATCTTCATAGTGTACAAATATCCCACAAACGTGGTGTGCACCTACACAGGCAGGAGGAGCTCAAGTCTGAGGCCAGCTTGAACTACAGTGATACCCTTGCCTGGAAAGAAAGGAAGTCGGGAAAGGAGGGAGGAACTGCGAGAGAAGGAGCTGAGCACTATGACACAGACCTGTACTCCTCAAGTGGAGAGAAGAAGGCAGGAGGACTGTGAAATCAGGCGAGCCTGGGCTACACAGCAAGATCATGCCTCACAGAACAACAACAACAGAAGTAGCCACAGAAGCTTCACCATTGCTTACTTCAGACTTCTCCAATGCAGGAGAGAAAGCACATACCCCTGTTAACCTACTCACAGCAATGCTTATCACCCATCCATAAATGTACTAATTTCATACTGAACTCACATAATCTCTCTCTCTCTATCTCTCTCTCTCTCTCTCTCTCTCTCTCTCTTTCTCTCTCTCCCCTATCCCATCACTGCCTACTAGCAAGAGAAAGCCTCTGTGACATTCACTGTACTTCACTGTACGTATGTTATATTCTCACAGATCTGATTCTTGAATCTCACATTTTGGCACAGTGGCAGAAGAAACATTCTAGACAGCTTCTAAAACTTGCAAAGGGGCAGGTAAAGCTGAATGGGTCTAACTTGAAATCTGGTTCTTGCTTCTAATCAACTGTGGTACACCAAGCAAGTCACTTCAATCCCTGAAACTTGGTGGCTCATGTACACAAAGGACTTGTGCTCCTCCCCTCTCACCATGGGATAAGTGTTAGGGAGACGGTGGCTAATGCCATGACTATCCTTGCTGCGTAAGCAATGGAGCATGCAAACCATCCAAGCCTACAATCAATACTATATAGATACACCCCTTAAATTCTATAAACAATCAAGAACAGACTCCCACCTCTGGGACCCTTCAAATCCACTTGGGAGCTATTCCAAAAAAAAAAAAAATTCTGTCCCTTGGGGGGTGGGGGAGAGAGGGACCCAGATAAAAACCAAAAACCTGTTTGAAGTCACATAACCACAAGGATAGAAAGTATACACTCTGGACTCAAACCAGGCAGGCAGTTTATCCATGGAAAACATATACTAAAATGTCTCATAAACGTTTATTATCACTGCATTAAGCAATCACAAAACTTAAAGCTGTAATGGACTTTTACACAAAACCATTATATGAAAACCTCCTCACTTTCCTGACTGTAAACTTACAACTGCCTCGCCGCCCTCCCTCCACTGTTAGAGAAGTTTATTTAGAGCCACACCCACATCCCCACCATGAGAGCTTTGAATCCTTGCCCTTTGGTCTCCATAGTAACCTTGCCAGGGCTGCAGTCTCTCAAGTCTTCTCTAAGCAGAGGAACTCCCTAGCAGCATTTAAACATTCTCCAGTTATCCAATTTCAAACAATCCCCAGTCCCTCCCTCCCTCCCTGCAAGGCAGTAGTGTCATGTCCACCCACATCCCTAGGATGGCCGCCTCAGTTTCTTCATGTGACTCTTTCTGGAGAACTGTCTACACTGGCTGTCTACTGGCTACTCTCCCTCAGTCTTTGAGCCACTCCTGCTCCACCAGCTTCCCAGGGACTGTGTGGTTGCACAACCTTTTGTAATCTCTCTTGCACCCTCAAGGGCATCTCCCAGAGAGGAGCAGGCTTGCTGTTGGAATCCTTTCCCCCTCGGCTTTAGGGAGACAGTTCGAACACACTCACGCGCGCGCGCACACACACACACACACACTTTTTTATTGAAGATTTCTTGGTCTTGATGCAGTTTCACTCCTTGCTTCATGGCTTCAAGTGTTTGTATTCCTCAAAGCACTTACTGATCTCCACACTTTCCC